GCTCCCTCTCGCCCGCCCCGGCTCGCTCGCTCGCATTATATCGCGCGCGTAAATAAACGCCCCTATTAACCGGCGCGCCGTCTCCCTCGTCCCCTCGCCCCTCTTTCCTTTCCTCGCCCCGCTCGACGCTCTACCGTTCCTGCACGCCGGTAGCCCTCCCTCGCGCTCTCACGGTTGCTTACCGCTCGACGTTGGCGCCTCCGGCACACGGAGCTGGAGTATAAGGTACGTTGATTGAGTGATTGATGACTCTGGGTTCGCTAACGGCTGGGTTCATTAGTCCCGCTAGTGTAATGAATGTGTTTTCGCGGTAGTGGCGGTATTCCTCCCCCGCTGCTTGGTGAGATCCTGCGCCGACCTAAACGTTGGCTAACGGGGAAATTATCCGCCCCAGGTACCACCCCAGCAGGATACCGCCCCAGCAGGGACTATTTTTAATACCCGACTGATCTTCCGTCATGTAAAGTCCATGGAGGTATAATTGAACGAAGGGGAATGAAAGAAGACCTCCAGGCGCGGATCCACGGGGAGAGAAATAGAGAAATTTCCCCTCCCAATTTCAGTAACTATTAATTTTAACTTGTCACGAAACATTCAATCAAAAATATTTTGGTTTAAACATTAAAACGAATAAAGTAGTATTGCAACATGATCTGAGTTAAGCCTGCGTCATTCTTCATAATCTGTAATATGACACATTCGACCAAAATATTTTTATTGAAAAATGTTCCCTTCCCAAAATTCGTCTCAGGATCCGCTCTTGAAGACGTCGGAAGCTCCGTTGCCCGTTTGTTAACTCACTGCTCCAGCCACTGCCCCCCCCTCCTAAGGCCCTGAGTTTTCGGTTGTTACCTTCCTTTATATGGCAAAAAAAACTGATCTTTATTTGTTGAACCATTTATTGCAACACTTCAATGAGAAAATGTAAAAAATAAGCTCTGGTTGAAGTACGATTTCTGCCGACAATACTGTGAATAGTTGGCGGTTAATTTTTCCGTGCTTCACTTTTTCGTTGTGTGTTCTCAATTACATTTTCTGTTAAATAATTGTAAAACATATATATTATTACGCTCATCGTGTTCATTGCTGCTAGTTAAATACTATGTAAATACGTACATAATAAGCATTCCTATAATGCATTTAGGTATTTACCATCTAAGAATTTGCATATCTTCTGTGCGAGCAAGTGGCAGGTAACATACTCTATGAAAAAACATGCTACTAGTCTGCCACAGAAACCCGAGAGGCGTAGTTCTGCAAATCAATGAAAATTACACCTCATGGGCTGTAAACTGGAGGCAAACGGCCCTCTTGCACGCTCCAAGCAGATATCTTCTACCTCATTTCAAGTCTTATGGGTCTGTGATTGCATCGTCCGATTGCATACAACAGGTGTCCGTAGCAGTTGAAGTCTATCAAGGCTAAAACATATCTTGAAAATACTCCTCCTTTCCTTTATGTCTTAATCAGAAAAGCAGAATGAAGGTTGACTGAGAAAATTATTTGAAGACACATTCAGACTAAGCAGTTTGAAATGTCACATCCTAGATTCTTGTAAATGGCTTGTCATCTTGTTCAGATCTTTTTTCTCTCACATTCATCTAAATGTATGCGAAAATTAAAAGATATAATATGTAAAATATAACAGCAAAATATTACCAGTTCATTCTGTTTTGTGATTAAATACGTTTGCAATATTCTCACAAGGGGTCTAAAATACATTTCAATATCCTTTTTAAATATTTCTTCAGTCTTCTCTAGGTACTCATAATTATTACTTATATTTTCCTGTGTGATTGACTCTTGTATAGTATCGAAGGAGTGTTAACTTATCGATGGGGATTTACCATCAATTTAAGCGAACGCATTATCTTGAGGAATGTGCGTCGTTTCTCTTTCCTGCATAGCACGTCACCGAGCGACATAGGTGTGTTTGCAGTGCGATATTCGTCGTCAACATGTCTCCCACGGATCAACTCCGTATCTGAGTTGCATGTTTAGACAAGACGATAATCTGCAACCTGACGACAATGACGTTTGCAGCAGACGTCGCAAACTGGGACAGAGATAATTCCTCTGCACGTCTTGAAGAGTTGGAGATTTTTCATTTTTTTAAAATATTATTTTCCATGTTACTGCCATCCTGATATAGGAACTAAGTAGTCAGGAGTGTGAAAGAGGAAGAAACTGTGTTAAATGATAAGATTTTATGATGAGTTGATTTACATTTCTCTGGTTTCGAATTTAAAACTATATATTAAGGTTAATAAAATCTAGTAGTCCCGAAGG